TAAAAGTTTGTGGGGCGACAATGTGTGAAGTACGGTAAGGAGTGACTATGAATGAAAGTCTTCTGATTTAATTGTTCGAATAAATAAATCTAGTTGATCATGGTACTTGCTACTATTGGACCTTACAAACTTGTTATTTGTTGGTTGGATCATTGACTCGGGATGAATAAATAGTAAAAAATATAAAACTTATAATAAATGAGAAAGTCGATTCAAATTTAGGTATCCATGATTCGGTTCAAGAACCAAGAATCGAGGAGGACCTGGCCTATTCTCAATTTCAATTCTTAATTTATTTTCTTATAATTGGACTAGAACATCTAGTTCTGATTCCAGGGTTCGATTCCAATAAAATACTCACCCCTAGAATTGGGCCTAATCATCCTTAATTTAAGTTGACTGGCCCTTTTGACATGGTCAAGTGTCGTTGCTCCTTGTGATTTTGATTGGCTGATGTGTTCAAAAGATTTAGGGTCCCATTAAAAGCAAAAGCGTGATGATTCGCTTATCTAGGTCTTAAAAAGATGTTTAATTTGGGTTAATCAACAATTTTTTATTCATTTTGTATTGTATTTGATTTTTATAGTTAAATCCCCAGTTTGAAGATTAATTAAGTAAAATAAAGTTGTTTGGAGAATTAATTGGACAAAACATGATACATGATGAAATTCGAAAAGTATTGAGACTAAAATGAATGAATCATCAGTGAAGGACTAAAAATGATATAAATCAGAAATTAAGGGATCAACTTCAATATTTGGAAAAGTTGAAGGACCAAAAAGATGAAGACAATAGTAAGAGATAAATTTGTAAATTGTTGAAGCTTTAGGGACCTACTGTGCAATATCTTATTTCCACTTGAGCTAAAAAGTAGAATGTGTTGTTTGGGCCACAAATTGAGGCCCAAATTACAAAATCAGGAGATTTACTCCCCATCTTTTTAAGTTGAAATTACACTAAACCATACTTTAAATATTCAACATTCTAAAATCACATGAGAAGTTTCTCTTTTCAAAAATAAGATCTTTCATATTTAAATATTAATTATACAAATTTCATTCTAAAACCCTAATCAATTTTCTCTCTCCATCTCACTCTTTGGCGGCTCCAATAACAACACGTTGAAGAAAGGCGGCTCTAGCTTTAGCGGTCGCTGCTGGTTTTGGTGGCATGTTGCAGGGTCCGACGCATTGCTGTATGCGACCGAAAGCAACAGCGTTTTTGTACCAAAGGATTGAGTCTTACATTTTCATCTATCTTCATCATGGAGATGACGGCAATGCCAAATTTAGGGATTTTTTTGGTGGTGGTGTGGCAATGGAGGCGGTGGTACTGAGTGTGTCGAACGAACGCCATGATGCCATTTTGGATTAGGATCTACTTTGATTTTGTTGACATTGTTTTGTAGTTAGTGGTCGGGATTTTGGGGGTGGTGATCACGGTGATACTGAGTTGGGGTAATGTTGGTTGCGTTCTAGTTTTGGATCTAGCTTTGGGCTATGGTTGGGGATAGGGGTTTTGGTGGAGGAGGCGGGGATGGTGTGATGTTGGTAGTGGCCGTGGTGTGATGTTGGTGGTGGTTGGGACAATGATTGATAAATTTGGATCTAATTTTTTTGTAGTGGTCATGGCCGATAGTGATGGATTGATGTGGCTGTATCTGTGTCATGTAGCTTGCGGTGGGACTATGTTAGTGGTGGTAGTGCTATTATTTGAATTGGTGGTGGTGGTGGCAAGTGGCTATGGTGGTGGCAGTCTGTGACCAACCATTTGGTTATTCATCACTAACTAATTAATTGTGACCTAAATATTCCATAATTTGTGACCGATGAAATTAACCGTGACCAATAAATTTGAACATTTGTGACATACAAATAAATGATGCTATAATTTTCTTGATTTGTGACCGGTGAAATTAACTGTGAACAATTAATTTGATAATTTGCAATGAATAGTTGAGTTGTGACCAATAAAAGTTTGATTTTTGTGACTATTGAATTATCTATGACTTATAATATTTTTGATTCATGACTGATCAATAACTTGTGACCTATAAAAATTTTTATTTGTGACCTATAATTTGATAAATTGTGTCTGAAAATGAATCTGTAACTAATTAATTAGATAATTGTGACCAAATTTCATGCAATAGTGACATCAATTTATTTAATTAGTAAAATATATGTTTAATAAATTAATTTTTGACTTAAAATTTCTAATTTGTGATCAAAAAATAATAAGTGACTAATTGAATTGTTAACTCGTGACCAAATTGTATAGATATGTGACCTAAATATATTTAATAAATTAATTAATTATTAAATCATAAATAAATTTTAATAAAAATATGATTTTTGAAGTTTAAAACTTGTTTTCTTGACTTTAAAATGTGTGATACTTAATCTCTTACTTACGAAATTTCCCCTTTTTGAATTGTGTATTGATAGAAAATGTGTGTTAAAAATAAAAAAAAGTTTTGAATTGTGTGTAATATTATTTTATTGAAGAATGTCTATTGAAATGATGTTAAATCACTAGTTTAAGAATGTATTTTACATGTAAATCCTGTTTGTCATCCATTATATAACATTACTTTTTCTATTGTACTCATTTTCAACAACGTTCTTCATTAAAAAAATATTATCCACAAATAAAAAAAAAATTCTTTTTTTTTAACCATACATTCTCGATTAATCTACTATTTTATAATACAATATGAAAAATTATAGAGGTTCAAACACACCTTGAATTTATTTTGCATCCATTTTTGACTCACTTCAATAATAGTTTATAATCGGATTAATTTATAAATAAATAATTTTTTAGCAAATATTTTTTTTAACATTCAAATTTAAGTAAGAGACAATTACTTTTTTCATAATAACATCCATTTTATGATCAAAATAAGTATCTTTTTCTTATAAGTAATATATGAAAATACAAATAGAAATAAAAATTTGATTACTTTTAAGTTTCGTAAAAAAATATAACATCCCTTACTCTTAGAATAAATAATTCATTTTTAGCTTTAATCAATAAAAAAATATTTATTATAATTTCACTAATGTCACGAGGTACCTCTTTAAGAAAGTCCCCTAAAAAAATTTGCAAAAATTCAAACATTTATTTTCGATTGAATCGGTATTGAGATTCCATTGATGCAGGGCCAATCCTAAAGTTGCATCGTTGAGCGACAAATGACAAAACATTCGAAAAACACAAGAAATTTCAGGCATAAAGTAACTCTCGAATTAACGACTAGAGTATTCATCACGTGTAGGCTTTGAGGGCATCATCCCTACTTACCTCCCTCACTTCAATCCCACGAGATTTAATAAGTGAACTTTTTAAACTCATACATTAAATAAAATTACCTAATTCGATAACGTGATATTCACGTTGCATGAATGTAATCTAAATAAATATATAATTATTTTGAAGTCTTTACTTCAGTTTGGACATTTGAAAATTTTCTTGTGATAAGATTGAAGTTAAGTAGGTAAAGAGGGCGGTGGGTAGGCTTGGAAGGAAAGTAAGAGTGGGGGCTTTTTAGGCTAGATTTAAACAAAAAAAATTCCTTAACTAATATAGCCCAAGCTTGCCCCCATCCATTTGCCCCACTAAGGGTGTTAGAAGTTCATACCATAACGCATGACTACTTAATATTAGCTATAAAATTATTAGCTCGATTATTAAACTTCTAGGTAAGTATGTTACCTAATCATATTATGGTTGCAAAATCTTGAAATTAGAGATAAAAATAGCTTTTTGGATGAGCTTACCTTTTAATTTGATATCACATAACTAATCGTTTAACGTTTACATAATCAATATCATTTAGTTAGGAACATGAGTACAATGATTTTAATTGATTAGAAAGCGTAAGTGTAACAATTGATAGGGTAGTATTACATGCCTTAGGCTCATGAAACGTAGGGCACCATTGATGGAATTTATCCTTAAAACCCACCTGGGTTCCGCCTGGAATAGGGTATTCTTCTGATAAAAAGTATTATCTTTTGTTGATAAATGATAAAGGTGATGTTTTTTCTATGTTTTGTGCTCATGAATGTTCATTTTGAACTTCAATTGGCACAAAACAATTGAGCAGTAATGGAGAAGTAGAAGAAGAAAGGAAACTGAAGCTAATTTGATGTTGAAATACTTGAATCATAAGTATTCAAGAGAGGGAAATGTTTTATTTTGGAAAATCTAAAGAAATTGTATTTATTCCTAAATATCATAAGGCTAAAGTTAAAATTCTTGGACCTTTTGCATTTGTTGATCGCTTTCTGATACACTTTGATTATAAGGTTGCTCTTTTGGTTTGAACTTGTTGTATACAGTGTTTTAGCTGTGCAACTGATGGTGGTCAAGTAAAGGTTTATCTTCCTTAGAGGATGTAGAATAAACAATGAATATTGGAAGCTGGAACATATAGATGGTTTACATATTCAGTAATCAAATAAAATTAAAAAAAAAAAAGTGAAGAAGGGTTAATGGCTCACTTAGGCTAAAAGTAGAGATCCGTGGATGTCTTGTTTAGTTATGAGAATTGTGAGGAAGATAAGTTGCAAACCTATAGAGGATTAAATGCCCCTCTAGAAGGAATAGAATTACTAGTATAAGAGAAAAAACTATTTATTTTGTTTTCTATGATCTATAAAAGAGATGGTGATCCCAAGAAAAATGAACAATGCTACACATATCGAATTTTTTTACAGAATATTTTATTTACTACTCACAACAGAGGTGGGGACCACATGTCGGCATTTTTAAATTTACGCGGGCCCCCATGCATTGTGAGTGGGGGGACACCTTTCGGTAGATATGGAATAATCCAAGAAAAATTAACTTCTATCCGTTAAGGTGGATGAAAGAGATTAAATTGGCCGCATACCAGGTATTGCACTCAATGGGTGGTGATGAACTTCTTTAAAATTGGATTTGATGAAAGCTTCCCTAGAAGCGTATCCTTCAATTGTTGAATATATTCAGCAATGGTGGATCTAGGTGGTGGCCAGCTAGGGCAGGTTCAAGTCCATGCTAACTCAAACTCTTGAATTCGCCCCCGACATTCAGTCCTTACGCCTGATCCTAGTGCTACCAATAGTTTGATCATGATGAAATTGCATGGACACAAAATTGCTAAATATATACTCCTTAAGAGCTGAGTTTACGAATATCCTTGCTACTTGGTCATTCTAAATAATGACAATATAATGCGAGGTTACAGAAATAATGAATAAGAAGTGGCAAGTGTTGCATGTTCGTTGAAAATGTTAACTCCTCGCATAGAGAATCCAACAAATACTGAAATAAGAAGATTGGAAACATATAGATGATCAAAATGTTTATGGTCTGCATAGAAACTATGAAGACTTTTGATTCCTTGCATGTGGCCATCGTTGCCTATTATTAGAGCTTTTCAAGTAATATGAAATATCCTGTGGTTGTTCTTTTTAAGGAAACTAATTAACAAAATGGTAAGAGTTATAGAATTTGTCTTTTAAATAAATTTAATCCTAGAACCATTTTCTGTTTTTAAACAAGTGTGTTAATTGTTGCTTGATGGTAGGTTGAAGGTCCAGTGAATTTTGTTATTTAAGCATATAATATGCGAGGTATTCTTGAAAAGCTTGTCAATAATGTAATCCAATTTTTATTTCCATGAACTCTTTTGCTATAACTTCTAGTGGCACTTTTAGGAATACTTATGGATTGCATTTAATTATTTTTGTTTAACGACACATTTTATTTTTTATTTTTATTTTTTTCAATTGTAATTTGCACGTTTTAATGAAATACATTGTAGGCTGCTGTGTTAGTTTTAACTTTAGGTTTCACTGACCTAGGGGTAACTAGATTTTTTAGTCTTACATGTGTTTGAAGTCAATATCCATCATACTTAGCTGCCAAGTGCATGTCATTGGCTAAAAGTAAAATTTATGCGTTTCTTAAATTATGTTAAGACTTGATTTCTGTTTTCCATTTTACGGGCTGGAACATGGGAGGAGAAGAGTTTGAATAAATGGGCAACTGATAGGATTAAGGTTTGAATGCCTACTATTAAATATCTTCTTCAATATTGTTTATCGTGCTCTAATGCATAGTATATGAACAATTTTTCTCTTTTACTTTTGTTTCCAGTCATATAAACACTCCTATTGTTGGTGCTGGGAAATAGTAGTTTAAATGTTTCGGGTGTTAATATGCTGGCATCTTTCAGTCACTCATTCAAATGCTTTTGTTTGTATCACTAGTTGGGCATTTAGTTGCCACCAACCACCAAAAAAAAAACACACACACACACACACTCACAACAGCAAAGACCATATAATGAATTGAAGTAGAACAGTTGAGTAGTAAACTTAATTTTTGGACTAAAAATATGGGCTTAAGGACTTTGCCCATAGACCCCAAATCAATTAAAAGGCTCAACATGCCTAACATTTTTAGAAACATTATCTAAAAAAATCTATATAAATATCTACTAGGAAAATCTGTAACGCCCCAATTTTTTTCATTAAGCATAAACACGGGAACGTTACGAAAACTCATTTTTCTTTAATAAAAAAAAAATGCGGAACTATATAAAATTCTTCAATAAACAAATAATTGTAACGTTTAAATTAAAATTATTGAAAGCGTATCTAACCATAAACATAAACTCCTAAGTAATTCAAATAATGCGTTCTAAATTAAATAAACAAATTGCTAAATTTAAAATGGCAAACTTATTTCTTTTTCTCTATTCTTTATCCACTTGGCAGTCCGCATCACCAATTCTCCACTGTTCAAATCGACCCGAACTAATCTGAAAAATTAATGTAAGAGTGAGTATTAAAAATACCCAGTAAGATACGTGCAAATTTCCATACACAGGTATATAACAAATAAATAATACACTTCATACCGCTCTTCTCTTATGGAGTATATCGGTGACCAAGCGACACACCCATCTTAGGTCCTCTTAATTTTCATGTAGAAATTTCATATCTCTTTCTCTAGAACCCGAAGGTCCACTAGCATTCCATGTATATTTAATCGCATATAAGAGCATAAGGAAACGTAAACACTTTGCACATAAATGTATCTTACCTCGTTGAATCTACAGTATGTTGAAAATCGTTCCTCCGCTTTGAAAGTATGTGATTAAAATACTCGATGTATGAAATTCTATTTCTAATGCTGTTTTCTGTCTTCCTTTTTCTCTCCTTTCTCTCTCTTTTATCTTTCTCTTTCTCTATTTCACGTGTGAATTTTTGGTGTGGTAAAATGTGGGATTCTAGCCTACTATTTATAGGTGTAGACTATAGTAGAAGATATGTCTTATCCTAACCAAAAGATTTTTACTTGATTTGTACTAGGCCTTTTTGTTGTTATCAAAAAGAAAATAGAGAATTGGTTTGTTATCCAATGCATGCCAACGTGAAGAAACATGATAGCTAAATGAGACATCAACTTTTCAAACTCTAATATGATTACATCAAAGATATCTTCTATCATAAATTCTGAAATAGGCAGCTAGCTTTTGACTTTGTTTAATATATTCATTCTTTGTACACATACATGGCTGTTTTGAAAAATCATCTAAATTCAAATGAGTTTGAGACTATCTATAATACTATATTTACAAATAGAAAAGTTATTTGCCATCACTTATCTATTATAATATAGTTTATCTTCCAAAATAAATGCTTCGAAATAATTAAAATTCTATCTTATTTTAATAAATATTATGTTTAAACAAAAGGTAGTCTAATTAGTCAGCACTGCCTAGAATATTTAATTAAAGGGAATTATATTAATTCTTAATTATATTTAATCTTGTCTCATTATTCCATGCCGACTTTTCCCGTAAAATGCCTCAATCCAGTATAATCTACAGTTATTTTTCCCTTATCTAAACATCACGTGGAGTCTATCAACTCATAAAGTCAAGTAATTAAATAATACTAAAATAATCAATCCCTAAAATCAAGGAAACCTACCCTTCTTTTTCTCCAAAATCAAAGCAAATAATTATTAAAATAAACCTACTTCTTTTTATTCATAACCATTTCTATACGTACACACCATACAAAATCAAGACAATTCCATGTACAAGTGTCAACATCACATCTTCCTTCCAAGTTTTAATTGAATTTGAAAATCAATTTCTTCAAATCGAAATTTCTTGGGGCTGGGTTATCCAAATCGACTATTTCTCGAGCCTAAAATTCATAATTAAATACTGGCTATCCAACGAGTATAATATTAATATACTTATTTTTACTCTATCGAAATTTAATTTTGACTCAAAGTATAAGAATTTAAAATATATTACCTCTTAGTCCCTCAACTTTTGAAATAATATAATATAGATATTAAATAAATTTTTATCAAAAATTTTGGGATGTTACAAAATCCATGTAAATATCTAAGTAAAATATGTGGTGATAAATGTGGCAATGTATCAAGAACAATATGTGACCTTATAAAGTTCATCAGAGTATTCTAGGAAAATATCTTGTCCAATATGTAGTCTAAAAGTCTTATGTAAATATGTGGTCTAGGATTCTCTAGAAAATATTTGGACTAAAAGTTTCATGTAAATACTATATAAAGGGGTAGTGTCCTCCATTTTGTAACAAGCCAAAAAAGTGTGTAAGTCTTGAAGTTGAAAAATATAAGTTTCATTTTGTTCACTTCCTTCTTCCTATTAGTTTTGTCCTCCTAAAAAGCCTTAGCCAATCAAAGTTAGTAAACCCCTCTTTTCTTCTACAAACTGGTATCAGAGCCCTAAGGTTCTTGTAAAAAAATGGCAAGTGGGATGATTCATTGTCAAGTTCTCTAACTCAACAAGGATAACTACGACAATTGGAGTATAAGGATGAAAGCGTTGCTCGGGTCGCAAGATGTATGGGAGATCATAGAAGAAGGCTACACGGAGCCACAAGACGAGGTCGCTCTATTCCAAGCATAAAGGGATAGTTTGAAGGATGTAAGGAAGAAGGACAAGAAAGCGCTCACCCTCATCTATCAAGTGTTAGATGAATGCATGTTCGAGAAAGTAGCTTGTGCTACTACAAGTAAGGAAGCATGGGAGATCTTGCAAAACTCCCACAAAGGAGTTGAGAAGGTAAAAAAGTTTCGACTCCAAACACTTCGAGGTGAGTTTAAATCTTTACATATGAAAGAATCGGAATCAATTTCTGATTACTTCTCTAGAGTATTGGCTATTGTGAATCAATTAAAGGGGAATGGAGAAAATTTGAACGACACTTGAGTAATTGAAAAGATACTTAGGTCTTTAGATTCTAAATTTGACTACATAGTTGTAGCCATTGAGGAATTTAAAGATCTAGATAGTATGAGTATCGATCAACTCACAGGATCTTTACAAGCCCATGAGGAAAGACTAAAGAAGAAGGTGAAACAAGAGTCATTAAAGTAAGCTCTTCAAACAAAGCTCACTTTGAACGAGAGTGAAGGAAGGTTCGGCAGCAGAAGAAGTCAAAGAGGAAGAGGACGAGGCCAAGATCAAGGAAGAAGTGCATTCTACAAGGAGGAAAGAAGACAAATCTCATTTTCCACCAGAGGTCATGGAAGAGGAAAAGGTATGAGAAAAAATGAAGGGTCAAGGTATGACAAATCTCAAATTAAATGTTACAATTGTCAAAAAATTGGTCATTATGCTTCAGAATGTAGAAATATTACTAACCAAGTTGAGGAGAAAGCCAACGAAGATTGTCGGGAAAGTGAAGTGGATCATGCGCTACTGTTGGCTTACAAAGGTGAAGAGAGCGGAGAAAAAGACAGGATAAAGCAACCATATGTGTGGAAGAAAAAACATGTTTGTGGAGCTTGATGAATCAGTAAGCGGAAACATTACCTTTGGAGATAAATCCAAGATCCCAGTGAAGGGAAAAGGTAAAATCTTGATCCGCTTAAAAATGGTACGCATCAATTTATCTCAAGTGTCTATTATGTGCCCAATATGAAGAGTAACATTTTAAATTTGGGACAACTCTTAAAGAAGGGCTATGATATTAATTTGAAAGATCATAGTCTTTCAATAAGAGATCAAAGGGAAAATTTGATTGCCAATGTCCCTATGACAAGAAATAGAATGTTTGCGTGAAGCATTCAAAATGATGTTGTCAAATGCTTAAAAGCTTGTTTTAAAGATTCATCTTAGTTTTGACACTTGAGATTTGGATATTTTAATTTTGGAGGTTTAAAGTTGTTGAGTAAGAAGAAGATGGTGAAAGATTTGCCTTCAATAAATCATGCGGATCAATTATGTGAATGATGCTTACTTAGAAAGCATTCGAGAAAATTTTTTCCAAAAGAAGCATTTACAAGAGCTAAGAAGCTGCTAGAATTTGTACACTCGGATGTTTGTGGGCCAATCAATCCAAGCTCTCTCGGTAAGAGCAATTACTTTGTTCTTTTTATTGATGACTTTAGTAGAAAAACTTGGGTCTATTTTCTCAAACAAAAATTGAAAATTTTTGAAACTTTCAAAATGTTTAAAGCTCTTGTTGAAAAAGAAGTAGCTATAGCATAAAAGCCATGAGATCAGAGGAGGAGAATTCACCTCCGAAGAGTTTGAGAAATATTGTGAGGAAAATGAAATTCGTGGTCCATTGACAGTTCCATACTCTCCACAACAAAATGGAGTAGCAGAAAGAAAGAATAGATCCGTTCTTAACATGGCCCGCTGTATGCTTAAAAGTAAGAGATTGCCTAAAGAAATTTGGGTCGAAGCTGTTAATTGCGTCGTGTATTTGTCTAATCGATTGCCTTCTAATAGTGTATAGAATAAGACACCACAAGAAGCATGGAGTGAAAGAAAGTCCAACATCTCTCACCTACGAGTATTTGGGAGCATTGTATATGCTCATGTACCATATCAAAAGAGGTCCAAGTTAGATGATAAAAGTGAAAAGTATGTTTTCATCGGTTATGACTCTCGCTCCAAAGGCTACAAGTTGTATAGTCTATAAGGAGAAGATCATCATAAGTAGAGATGTCGAGTTTGATGAAGAAAGAGTTTGGGATTGGGGTGTCCAAGAAGAAGACTATGACTTCTTACCATTCTTTGAGGAAGAAGAACAAGAGAATAGAGAGCAGCAAGAGCTTACCAGTCCACCTCTATTACATACTCATGGAGATACTTCCCCATCATCTTCACAAGGAGAAAGCTCAAACGAAAGGATACCACGGATGAGGAGCCTACAAGAGCTATATTAGGTAACAAAAAATCAAAATGATCTCACACTCTTTTGTCTTTTTGTCGATTATGAGCCAATAGGGTATGAAGAAGCAGCGCATAATAAAAGCTGGAGAGATGCCATGGATGAAGAGATTAAGGCTATTGAGAAAAATGACACGTGGGAACTGACGACCCTTCCAAAAGGAAAGATTGTAATTGGAGTTAAGTGGGTGTACAAGGCAAAGAAAAATGCTAAAGGAGAAGTGGAGAGATATAAAGCAGGATTGGTTGCTAAAGGATAAAACCAACAGTCGGGAATCGATTATGAAGAGGTATTTGCTCCTGTTGCTTGTTTAGAAACCATAAGATTAATTATCTCTTTTGCAGTGCAAAATAAATGGAAGATATTTCAAATGGACGTGAAATCAACTTTTCTAAATGGTTATCTTGAAGAAAAAATCTATGTGGAGCAACCAACTGGCTATAAGATAAAAGGACATGAAGGTAAAGTCTTAAAACTAAAAAAAGCTTTATATGAGTTAAAACAGGCTCCAAGGGCATGAAATAGTAGAATTTACAAATATTTTCTAGAAAATAATTTCGCAAAATGCCCTCACGAGTATGCCCTTTATACAAAGGTAAATGAAAAATGAGATATTTTGCTTCTTTTTTTTTTTTTTTTTTTTTTTTTTTTTTTTATGTAGATGATCTTATATTCGCATGAAATAATCAAAGTATGATCACTGAGTTTAAGAAGGTCATGGCTCAAAAATTCAAGATGACGGATATCGGCCTCATGGTTTACTATCTTGAGATTGAGGTAAAGCAAATGGAGAATTGTATCTTTATCTCACAAGTAGGATATGCGAAAGAAATTCTAAAGAAATTTAATATAGAGGATTGCAAGCTTGTATGCACCCCCATCGAATGCGGAACCAAGTTGTCGAAGAATGATGAAGGTGAAAAAGTAAACCCAACACCTTTTAAGAGTCTTGTTGGAAGTCTAAGATACTTGACGTGCATAAGATCAGATATCTTTTTTGGAGTTGGGCTCATCAGTCGCTATATGGAGACACCTACCATGACCCATATAAAAGCTACAAAGAGAATTCTTTGCTACATCAAAGGTACACTTGTTGGATATAGTGACAGCGATTGAAGTAGAGACAGTGATGATAGAAAGAGTACAACTGTGTATGTGTTTTACTTGGGCGACATAGCTTTCACTTGGAGCTCAAAGAAGGAATCGATCGTAGCACTATCTACACGTGAAGCTAAATATGTTGCAGCTACATTAAGTGTCTGTCATGCGATTTTGGCTTAGAAACTTGTTGAAGACGCTTGGAGTATCACAAGAAGAGCTAATCGAAATCCATGTTGATAACAAATCGGCATTAGCATTGGCAAAGAATCCAGTATTTCACGATAGAAACAAGCACATTGATACAAGATATCACTTCATAAGAAAAAGTATTGCAAAGAAAGAAGTGCAACTGAAATATGTAACCTCCCAGGAGCAGATCGTCGACATTCTCACTAAGCCACTCAAGCATAACATGTTCCGCAAGTTAAGAACTATACTTGGAGTAGTAAAATCAAGTTTAAGGGGGGATGTTGAGTAGTAAACTTGATTTTTTGACTAAAATATAGGTTTAAGGACTTTACACATAAGCCTCAAATCAATTAAAAGGCCCAACATGCCTAGCATTTCTAGAAACATTATCTAAAAAAATCTATATAAATATCTACTAGAAAAATTCATGTAAATATCTAAGTAAAATATGTGGTGATAAATGTGGCAATGTGTTAACAAGAATATGTGATCTTATAAAGTCTATCTAGAGTATTCTAGGAATATATCTTGTCCAATATGTGGTCTAAAAGTCTTATATAAATATGTGGTCTAGGATTCTCTAAAAAATGTGTGGACTAGAAGTTTCATGTAAATACTATATAAAGGGGTAGTGTCCTCCATTTTGTAATAAGCAAAAAAAGTGTGTAAGTCTTGAAGTTGAGAAATACAAGTTCCTTTTGTTCATTTCCTTCTTCCTATTAGTTTTGTCCTCCTAAAAGCCTTAGTCAATCCAAGTTAGTAAACCCCTCTTTCCTCCAACAAGAACAAGTGAAGATGAGAAATTTGATTACTATGAGAACATTGTGACTTACCAAAGCCTGATTTATATAATTTTGGACAAGCTAAGTAGAGAAGATAACTTTTCAAATTGGAAAATGAACCCATGCACAATGGAGTTCTGTGAGAGATTCTACAATCAAGAAACACTACCACAAAGCCGAAACCTAAAAATGGTGCTGGATTGTATGAATTCTCCATACCAATCAATTATTCTAACTTGTTCATATTTGCCAGCTAGAGTGCATGTACAAACATACCTCGTAATATATATATTAGAATTGAACTTTAGGGTTCAAAATGCAGGAGTTGCTTGTGTCTATGGGGTCCCTGGAGTTCTCTGGTGGCCAAGCTGAAGTATCAGAAGTGACTAAATGCTCTGGAGATGTGAGTGCTTGTAAAATTGTAATATGCCTGAAAAAATTTCTTTCCTTTTAAGCCTCTGAAGATTAATTTCCAAGTGAGATGTTTGCTGACCACATTTCATGTATATCGTTGACATTGATGAACCTGCATAAACTGACAAACAATAATATCTCATAATTTCTGTTGTGTTAATATTTTAGGAAGTTTCTCATTACTGCTATTCTGACATCAACTACTTGGTCCACTTCACTAGTTTATGAAATGAATTAACTCTAAATTTTCCTTAATTTTAGGAAATGACTTCACTAGTTTATGAAATGAATTAACTCTAAATTTTCCTTAATTTTAGGAAATGACATTTGAGAAACGAAGGCATGTATGGTGGAGAGAGTAGTAGTGCGTGACTTTCCATGGACTCAATCTTGGCTATTTTATATAGTAATAATGATTTTGTGCATTAATTTGCAAAATCTTCCTCAACCTTGTCCGATGTCTTGAAGGTTCCTTTGTATTGCTTCTCATAGTTCAGTAATTATCCACTTCATAAAATGTTTTGATCAAAGGTATTATAAATTGGTGTGCTGTGACTCACATGAGTTGATGTTCACTGTAATATCTTATATATTTTCTGCCAAATCAATGCATGTGTGGCGAAGCTTAAATTGATAATTTAAACTAGTTAAAGATGCTTTTTATCTACATATTTCGTAAGATCCATAACTAATACTTTTATATCTAAACATTCCATAAGACCAACAACTTATAATTGCTTAAAAGCACTCCCAAGCATGCTCTCAATTAGGTGAAGATGCTCATAATTGAAAACACACTCATTTATTTGTTAGAACTAAGGAAAACCTAGAAGGATGAGTTTTTTGTTTATTTTCTCCAATAACATTGAAAGAGAGAGAGAGAGAGAGAGAGAGAGAGAGAGAGAGAGAGAGAGAGAGAGGAATCTGCTCGAGGAAAATTTCTTTATTGTATTAACCTTGTTGTTTAATATAAGCTAGACTCCTGAATATTCAGCACACTTACTCTGGAGAGTCCGAATATATACTGTTGCTTTCTCTCGAACCATAGTATTATTGGATACTTTTAGGTTATGAACTCAATTACCATTCCTTGCTTCAACAATAATTTTTGAAAGACTTTCAGACATTCTTGGTCACTGTACAAAACAAAAACCGAGTTGGCTATACCTATGAGCTGACATTAAAAGTGAAAGGTAAACTCTTTTCTTTTTCATCATTGTGGAATAATCTTTATTTACTTTGTTTCTTTTTTCCATATTTATGTTTTGCACCTAAACTACCAAATGAGAAATTAATGGACATCAGGAGAATGGCTTGTTGGAGGGGGGAAGAAGAAGGTCAAAGGCCACATAAATGTATTCGAGTTCTCCTTGGGCGAACTGGATGATTTGCAGGTATATTGCATATAAAATGCCTGAACCTGTCGAAGTAAAATTAACAACTTGACTGGCTTGTTTGCGTGTGCTTAAAAATTAAGATATCTAAGTCCCCTTTTTGTTAAGCCAACATGTTTGAAAACTCACTCATTAGCAAAATCAATGAGATAGTTTACTGAAGTGCACTCTATAGGCCAAGTTTTTTTTTCACTGTTTCCAAGATCGGTTGAAAATTTTCCGATCTCTAAGATAGGTAATATGATAAATGTAATGGTCAAGTGAAAAAAAAATTGAGACAATAAGGCTTATTCAACAGGGTTTTTGAAAAGTCAAAAATTACTTGCAAGACTAAAAAAGCTGCTTTTAAACATGTTATTAATAATTTTCTATAAGTGCTTTGTTTGTAAGTACTTTGTTTGGCTAGGCTAGAAGATTTTTTAAAGAAAACTAGTCTCATGTAGATTCCTCATAAAGCTTTTTTATAAGAAGTCGAAGAAAAAGTTAAAGCTCCGCCAAACGAGCCCTAAGTAGGATGGAAGTACTTAAATCCTCCTTTTATCTTTAAAAGTAATTTCTTCTTTTATCAAGCCAACGGGTTGGTTGTTTGTGTTTGTAAGATTGTTTGACCACTTATAAGCTGGGTCCAACTTAAAGAAATGTCTCAAGAAACCTGATTATGACATGATTTTGGCCACATTCTTTTGCTTCGCAGATTGACGTAAAATTAGGTGAAGATAAAGATCTCTCACAACAAGATACATACCTTCCTCTTGCAAAGAGTTGTCCTTGCTAGTGGGGCAAATTAACACTTCTTTGCCACTTCCCATAGTAGATATTTCTATTTTTCATGGTTTCTTCCACATGGACATTTCTGCTTTAATGTTTCATCAGCTTATTGATCAAACATGATAATGGCCAGAAATCTACATAGTAGAGTCATTATAAAAGTTGCCTTACGCGAGGCAAAACGGAGATCTCTTGAGTTGACAAGCAAAGAGCTGAACTAAAGTTAGGACATGTTTGACAAGACTTTTGAAAAGTTAAAAGATGTTTCTGAGGCTAGTAATTTGTTTGAGAGAGAGAGAGAGTTATGAAAGGAAAATTTGATTTATTTTTTTCTTTATTTTTATTTTTTTTGGGAGAAAATAGGGGAAAGTTAAGGGTTCATAGAATGTATTTGAAAATGATTTTGGGGCATGATTTTTAAAATATGATTCCCAAACAAGCTTTAAGAAATTGCTTTTGGGTTTGTTTAGATAATTTTTTAAAAATGTTATTCGGTTTGAAGTGCTTTTAAAGAAAGTTAGTTCAAGTTGACTTCTTTAGGAATCTCTTCAACAAAAAGCAAAAGTAAGGAGTTATCACATACATGTTAGCCAACAATAACACTTGTTGACCCAATTTGGCATCATCTAATATAATCACTTTTGCCTTTAGGGTTTCAAAAATTTTAAGATGTAGTTTGAGTTCGATCCTAATTTATTCAATGAAACTCTGGCGCTATAAGAGTATGATTAACGGTCTAAAATTTTTTAGACGATTAACACTAAAATTCATTGATTGAATTATTTAGGATGACTAATTTTGGATAAAATATAAATAATAATCTTCACAATATTTTACTTCTCAAATTAAAATTAACGTAATTGACCTAAGAAAATCTTGCTGATAATTGATTTCTAGTAACCTTTCATAGTAGAATAATTTTAACATATTTTTTTTGTTTCCAACCAATTAATAAGAAACGAGAATATTAGGATGAAACAATTTTATTATATGTAGCCAATATAATGACCTGAAAGAATAATTCAATAGGAAAACAATAAAATCAGAATTTCATGAAACAGAATTGTATCTAAATTTATAGAAAATCAATGATCTTTACAAGTATTACATGTCAAATTAGTTGTTGCTGTTGTTGGTGGTGATAGTGGTTGTGTGTGAAGGGGTTTCCTGGTGGCTCTGCCGTAGAATGAGACAAATTCTCCATTTCACAAAGTATACAATTTTAGATTGGTGGTAATTAAGAAAACTGAAATCAAAGGTTAAAACATGGCTAATATAGAAACCCTATGTGATCCAACTCCATTAATACCTAAGAAAGAGTTACTATCTGAAAATAAGAACTTAAATTGGAGGAAAGTTTAGCTTGGCAAGATACCTTAGCCATATATAGCATATCATATTTATAGCATTTACAAGTAACTGATTATACAAAAAATAAGGAACTAACAAAGAGAAAATAACTTAAGGACTCTTGGAAGTGTAAACCTTCTATGTAACGCCCCGAATTCTAATAACCCGAAACGTTACGAAACATGAATATACCTTGAAATAAACAGTTTTAATATAACGAGAAATTCTGTAAAAGATCGAATAACATTTAATCAAAAGATAAATTTAAATATGCGGAACGTTTGAAAATATATCATTCATCCAAAAATTTTTAGAACAGTTAAAACTAATTGAAAATTTATAATGCACTCACAATTGGGTCAAAAATGAATAACCCATTATTAGTTCTAGTGTTTTTGAAAATTAAAATACTTCATGACGAGGATCCATTGGTCCAATAGCAAATCCATCCACCGCCGTCCAGCATACTAATTATTACCTAAAAATTGTAAATAAGGGGATGAGTAAAACGAATTATACTCAATGAGATACTTGCTACTCCACATTCAAGTCAAACATGAAATTATAAATTAATTATCTTACCAACATAACATGAGAATTATCACACCATGACAAATGATAATTCTAGCAAGCGCTGCAAAATAACGTGAAGGCTAAATTGTGCCTTGAAAATAACGTGAAGGCTAAATTGTGCCTTAAAATGTATCATGATTTCTCCCGAAGGAGCCTGAATTGAAGTAATTAAATTCATAATAACGTATTTGAAAAGATGTGGAAAAACCACCAATAGTATTGAGTATCTCACCTTTTGAAGATGAAAGTGGAGAATAAAATTGCAGAAATGTGATTGCAATTCCAAAGCCTTAAAAAATCTAAATAATATAGAGGAATATTTTAAAGAGGGAGAGGTAATGGACGTGTAGTAGAATGTGGTTTTAGTGCTCTATTTATACTGTTGAAGTCGGATAATCACGTGGGGGAAGTGGAATTTCAGCCATATTTAAATTCGTATTTCATGCAATTTTCTGAGAAATCGATTCATAATTCCCGATTGATATAGTATGACTGGAGATTAATTATTGGTTTTCTGCCAATTTCTATATCAATTACAATTACAATTACAACAAGGAAATGATAGGCATTACACTGCATGACTTTTACACGTGGACGGGGAAAACAAATCTGCCTCTTATTTGCATAATTTACTCTAATACAAACATCTTAAATTGTCAATCTCCTAATGGTCGAAAATTATAAAATGTATGGTTATTAATTAAATTAGAATTTCAGTCCAATCTTCCCAAAATTTGTTCCAATTAGGGGACACAATGATTACTAATTATATGGACACGTGAAAGTTGTAATGAAATGCATGGGTTACTCATGTACTAAAGTCTAACATCAAATAATTCAAATTCCTTTGATTTGCATTTAACTAAATTTGTAAGCAGGATTTACGTTTTAATTGAATACCTCTTAATTAAAAATGTATAATTATTAATACTTAACATAAAGACTTTGTTTAACCAAAACTTAAAATTCTAATTTATTTAGCTAAACTAGTGGTGGCAGTCAACTGGCGAAAAATCTAATCCTTTAAAACTCTTATAACCATAATATTCTTTAGACGGCTAAAACTCGGGTTTAACTTGACCAAATTAAATTTTTCTTGAGTCCATAATTCGCCATTTATTATGAGCTTCAAAATGAACCCAATATTGGTAGAGTAATTCTAACACCTTCAATAATTAACTATTTGGCCCATTTAATAAAGTATATAATAATTTGATATTTATTTTTCTTTTCAATTTGGTCCCTCAACTAATAAGATAACTATAGAGATAATCAATTAACTTGCATAAGAACTTAACCAAACATTGCATTCCTATTAAATGGCAAATAAAAATATATGCGAATTTAAGTTAAAAATTCGGGATTTTACAACCTACCCTCCTTAAAATAATTTCATCCTCGAAATTTACCTTAGATTAGTTGAAAAGTTCGGGATACTTGATTTTCATCTCATCTTCCTTTTCCCAAGTTGCTTCTTCCACTCCATGGTTATGCCATAGGACCTTGATTAAGGGAATATCCCTATTTCTCAGTACATGAACCTTTCTTTCTAATATCCTCAATGGCATTTCTTTATAGGTCAAATCATGTTGTACATCTAAATTTTGATGGTTGATCACATGATTAGGATCCTGTAAGTATTTTCGCAACATTGATACGTGAAAAACATTATGCACTGCTGAAAGTTCTGGTGGCAGTGCCAGTCTATATGCCACATCTCCGATTCTTTCTAACACATCGAATGGTCCAATGAATCTTGGTCTCAATTTTCCTTTCTTTCCAAATCTAAGTACTCCCTTCATTGGAGCTACTTTCAGAAATACCTTGTCACGAACTTGGAACTTGAGATCTTTTCTTCTTCTATCGGCATAGCTTTTCTGTCTGTCTTAAGCAACCTTAATTCTATCTCCAATCTTTCCCACGGCCTGTACGGTTCGATCTATGATCTCAGGTCCAAGAATCCTCCTTTCTCCAATCTCATCCCAGTAGATAGGTGATCTACACTTCCTACCGTATAGTGCCTCGTAAGGTGCCATGCCAATAGTTGCTTGAAAGCTATTGTTATAGGCAAATTCTACTAAAGGCAAGTGTGATTCCCAGCTACCACCAAGATCTAGTACACAAGCTCTTAACATATCTTCAAGTATCTGAATTGTCCTTTCAGATTGTCCATCAGTCTGTGGGTGATACGCAATACTAAATTTCATTTTTGTTCCCATAGCATTTTGTAGGCTTTTCCAAAATTTTGACGTGAATCTCGAGTCTCTATCTGAAATAATAGAAATAGGAACCCCGTGTAACCTGACTATTTCATTGACATAAATCTGTGCATATTGCTCCATGGTAAATGTCATCTTAACTGGAAGAAAATGGGCTGACTTTGTAAGACGATCCACTATTACCCAGATAGCGTTGTTCCCTTTAGCCGATCTCAGAAGTCCTACCACGAAATCCATGGTAATGTGTTCCCATTTCCACTCCGGTATATCTAGTGGTCTAAGCAACCCTGAAGGTCTCTGATGTTCAGCTTTTACTTGCTGACAGATGATACATTTACTTACAAAAAGTCCTATTTCTCTTTTCATATTTCTCCACCAAAACGTATTTCGAAGGTCTCGATACATTTTTGTACTTCCTGGATATGCTATCTAAGCGGTAGAGTGTGCTTCTTCAAGAATTTCTTTCCTTAATCCCTTATCTTTAGAAACACATATTCTGCCTTTATACATAAGTATCTTATCATCAGTTATCGCAAATCCCTCTTGCTTATCTGTCCCAATTCCTGCCATGATTTTAAACAAAAATGGATCATCCTTTTGAGCTTCTCTAATCCGTTCTCTAAGAGTTGGTTGAACCATTAGAGCCGCAACAATGGCTGACTTCTGTACCGAAGGTGTAACCACCTCTAGCCTCAAATTTTCAAATTCCTTAGCTAACTCTTTTTGAGTAGTTGAAAATGTCAACTTTCCAGCTATCTTTCTACTCAGAGCATCAGCAACTACGTTAGCTTTACCTGGGTGGTAAAGAATGGTGCAGTCATAGTCTTTAACCAACTCTAGCCATCTCCTTTGTCTCATGTTTAGCTCCTTTTGAGTAAAGAAGTACTTGAGACTTTTGTGATCGGTGTATATCTCACATTTACTGCCATATATATAGTGACGCCATATTTTTAGTGCGTGAACTACTGCTGCGAGTTCTAAGTCATGAGTTGGGTAACTCTGCTCATATGGTTTCAACTGTCTAGAGGCATAGGCAATGACCTTTCCATGTTGCATTAACACACATCCCAAACTTTGTTTAGAAGCATCACTGTATATAACAAAACCTTCGGAACCATCTGGTATTGTTAATACTGGTGCTGAAACCAATCTTTGCTTCAATTCTTGAAAATTGCTTTCACACTTATCCAACCATTGAAACTTTACTCCCTTTCTAGTTAATTGTGTGAGTGGTCTAGCTATCTTAGAAAATCCTTCAATAAATCTCCGGTAATAGCCAGCTAGACCCAAGAAACTACGAACTTCGCCTACATTGGTCGGTCTAGACCAATTTGTTACAGCTTCAACTTTAGCTGGGTCTACCTCAATTCCTTGCGCAATAACCACATGACCAAGAAAGTCAATACGATCTAGCCAGAATTCACATTTTTTGAATTTGGCGTACAACTTCTCTTTTCGAAGCGTATTTAATACCACTCTCAATTGCTCTTCATGTTGTTGCTTATCCTTTGAGTAAACCAGTATATCGTCGATGAAGACTATAACGAATTGATCTAGGTATTGATGAAAAACACGATTCATTAAATCCATAAACACAGCTGGTGCATTGGTTAACCCAAATGGCATCACAGTGAACTCATGGTGCCCGTACCGCGTTCTAAAAGCTATTTTTGGGATGTCACAATCCTTTATCTTAAGTTGGTGATAACCTAATCTCAAATCTATTTTTGAGAACACCGTTGTACCCTTCAATTGATCAAAAAGATCATCTATCCTTGGGAGTGGATATTTGTTCTTTATAGTCAAATGATTAATATCTCTATAATCAATACACATCCTCATTGACCCATCTTTCTTTTTAACAAATAATATCGACGCTCCCCATGGGGATACACTAGGTCGGATGAAACCCTTATCCAATAATTTTTGTAGTTGTGAATTCAACTCCTGTAATTCTTTTGGTGTCATTCTATAAGGAGCCTTAGATATTGGTGTTGCCCAGGGGTCAAGTCAATTGTGAACTCTACTTGCCTATCAGGCGGTATACCAGGTAGATCTTCAGGAAAAACATCCACGAACTCATTTACTACAGGTACATCTTCTATTTTCCTTTCGGACTGGGGTTTACTATTTATATTCAATAAAAATCCTCGACACGTATTCTTCCTCAACATCTTTTCTGCTTTCATTGCAGATATCAATCGGGGTAGAGTCCTAATTCTTGCTCCAAGGAATCGAAATTTTTCTTCTCCAGGTTTTTGAAATAAGACTTCATTCTTATGGCATATGATAGTTGCATAGTTTCTACCCAACCAGTCCATACCCAAAATTACATCAAAGTCTTTCATTCCCAAGATGTACAAATTTGCCTTTAGTACTTTTCCTTCAATCTCTAACTTAACACATTTAATCATTTGATCAGTATTAATGACTTCGCCCGAGGGTGTACTAACTTCTAGAATGTTATTTGTTTCTACGCATTTACTTCCAATCTTATCCATAAAAATTGTAGAAATAAATGAATGAGTCGATCCAGAATCCATAAGAACAATAGCAGGTATGTCGAATACTGGTAACATACCTGTTATTACGTCTGTGTTCCGATCCTCATTTTCTCCCATCAAAGCAAATACTCTGGCCTTTCCCTTCTTAAGATGGTCACCTTCTTTCTTCTTCTCTGGACATTCTCCAAGGAAATGGCCACTTTTACCACAAATGTAGCATAATCCCTTTCCTTGAAGACATTCTCCCAAGTGTCGCTTGTTGCATTTGGAGCATTGAGGAAAAGTTTTGTTTGAACTTAACCAAATCTTTACTTTCTTATTCTGATTCCTACATTTCTCTTTGTTGTAACCTTGCCACTTTCTTTTTATAGAAGTCTTGGTGTTGGGTTGAGGTTTCTTTTCCAATCCTAAACCATTAGAAATTGCTTGTGCTCGACGTAAAACTTTCGCATAAGTAGTATACTGTTGGGCTGCCATGATTTCCTTAATCTCTGGCCTCAACCCCATCTCAAACCTTTTAGCCTTCGTCAGCTCAGTGTTTACCATGTGTGGAGCGTATCTAGAAAGCCGTTTAAATTTTCTTTTGTACTCCCCAAGTGGCGAATTCCCTTGTGTGAGTTGGAGAAATTCTACCTCCTTTTGATCCCTTAATGGCCGGGGAAAGTATTTACCCATCAACGACTCCTTAAATTAATTCCATGTGAGATTACATAGTTGTTCTGCAGTCTTAGTACGTGTTTCGGAATCCCACCAATGCCCAGCATCGTTAGTTAACATGAACTTTGCATAGGAAACATTTTGAGCGTCGCTACAGTTCATGTGCTCGAAGATCCCTTCAAGTCTTCTCAGCCACTCCTCAGCTGCGAAAGGGTCACCTTTACCATCAAAGGACGAGGGTTTAAAACGACGAAACTGCTCAACGATCGAGCTCATGGTTTTAGTACCTCCTGTTGCATTACTAGGTGCCTGAGCCTGCTGCCTGCCCAAGTTTTGCACTGCCCTCAATAAATCTCTGAATATAGTAGCTTGATCTTGTTGATGTCGTGCCATTTCCTTTAAGTAAAAAGTAATCTATCTTAAGAACTATTCAACCATGCTACATTCTTCCTATAGATCTTTCTAAGCCATGTCTGTCGTGTATATTATGTTAAGGCCAAAAGTTACGCATTAAGGTTTCAGTCATATGATAATCGTATCATTAATCGTATGATATCATTAATTGGCATTCTACTTCTGAATAAAATGATGCATAAGGAAAAGCTCATGAGATTATACAACTAATTAGCATGCATGAAAATATAAAAATATTCTTCATCTTTGCATACCTTAAAAATATTGGACAGTGGAAGATTGATGAGCATTGGATTCCACGGATCTCGTAACTTATTATTGTTATGTATATAAATTTTGTAAAATGGATTTTTTTTTTAAAAAAAATTCTAAAATGAAAGGATTTTTATAAAATTTGAAGTGGGTTTAAAACATTGTTTTCGTCTTATCGATTTGAATAACGCGCAACTAAAGAGGCTTCCAGGTGAGGAGGGGGGTCACATGGACCGCTTAAATCCCAAACTCGCCTTAGACAGTTTAGATCTTTTTGACAAAATCTTTTAGTTTTACGAATACGCAAATCAAGAAAACTCGAACAATGAATTTCCCCTAAAAGATTAAATACGTATAGCTCCTTTTTTTTTCGAAAAAAAAAATTGTTAATAACAACAATACGAAGGTAGAGTCAATCATGTGGTCATTTCATAAATTTACGCATAAAAAGTCCAAACAATCTTATTCTACATTTATTTTAATTTCAATCGAAGAAAGAAGGCAGAAATTTTGGTGTGTGACATTTCATTATAGTAAATAAATCCTTATCCAAAATAAATTATAGTAAATGAGTAAACAAATAATCATGTCCAAGAATAAACAAATAAACACGTTTGGACAACTATAGGCACATAACCCCATTTTATATTACGTTAAACAAAATTTCACAAAATCCCATTTAACTTCACTATTCCCGCGTCACTGTTCATCCGTGAACAGTGACTTACCTTAATTATTTATTTTTTTATACACGAGAGTAGTGATGGTCACTGCACTGCACCAAACAAAACCAAAATAATAGTGACACAATTTGGA